TTTGGCTTCACTAGAAGGGATACCCACTCAGTGGACAAATCCCTTTTTAAAGCTTCCTCAGAGCTCTTAGAATATCATGTAGCATTTTATTTTGGGAATTTGGTATGTGATACTGCGTGCCAAAAATCACAGTCATGCAGCACAAGGCAATAATCAGCACAACCTACAGAATAGTGCAGCTTAAAAGCTAGATTTTTTTTTTTCCAGGCAAGATATTTCAGTCCTTGCTGATATGCAATGAATCTTAGGAGACGATCCTATGCTTCCAAGTCAAGTACTACTATGAGCTTAGTGGAAAGTATCTATTTGGCACTTCAAGTTAGTGGGGAATTAAAAAAAAAAAAAAAAAAGCCTTATTTATACAGATTTCTCAGTTTCTGGCTTAGACTTGACGATCCTCTCTCCAGGGAGCAAGGTTTCCCCATTCATCAAGTAACAAAATTAAGCATTTCAGGGTGAATTCTGATCTGACTGTGACATTCAGCCCTCTGAGAAGCTCTCACTTCCTCCAGAGCTGGACTCCCATGCAAAACATAAGGATGCAGGGAGAGGCAGCGCCATGCTCATGCTCCCAACAACAGTTTATGTGTCTGAGTTACTTCTGTGCAGATTTATGAGTTGTTATCTCAGCCCCCACCCATCCTGATAAAAAACTGTGCAGGTAGAGAGAAGATAGACATACGTCTCAAGGTGTGTGTGATGGCAAAGTTATCCGTTTGGAGACTGAATGGTTTTTCCCTGTGAGCACCTGCACACAAGTTGTCCTGGATCCCAGATGAGCATAAAGGGAAAACCCACTCTCCATCCACAAGAAAACTTAGAGTTGAAGGTCCTGAAACCCCTCACTCCTCAACCCCCTCTACAGCCTGGCTGGGGTCCTGCAAACAAAATGCCCTCATTTCTTATTCCTATCCCTCTTTGCCAGCAAGCTCCAGGAGCGCGTTCTCATCTCTGCTTAGCACAGAACAGGAAAAAAGCATTTGTTTCTTTTGACCTGCCTACTTGTCCAACATTTAACCCACCGTTTTTTATATCCGTCAGCTGAGGAAGAAGAGGGAAATGGCGCCACGGAACGAGGAGGACCACGTACCTCCCAGTACAAGAGTTCCCATTCATGCGTGAATGACTCCATGGGTGTGAGCAGATCCCTTATTACAAACAAACCCCAGCACAAGTCTGTTACCAGCACAGGTCTGAAAAAGTATTTAAGCAATGTTGGTGGTATTGAGCCTTCATACCATAAATCATTAGGAGTCTCAAAGAGGCTGCCAAAAAGGCAGAGTGTTGACACAGAAAATGCATGGACATGCTGTGATTTGAACACTTAATCAACTTAGCCCATGATCCAAACGCTGAGTAAGTCTCAAAAGGACCCTTTGACAAGCATTTGCTATTGATCGCCTGATGGGTTTCCTTCTGTGTCAGTATTGAACCACTGACAGTAAAAATGCTGAACCATTATTAGACCTATGTATACTGTCCATCAGTTTTATATGCCCCCAACCAACATTAAATTATCACATCCCTACTCAAATTCCCCCATACTTTATAACTTTAAAGTTTTGCTCCCTAGAGAAGTGCTACAGTGTAGCATGTACTGAATATCATGCTTTATTAGTGTTTCACTAACAGCATTTTGCTTTCAAGGTATGACCTCTTTCTAGGACATCATCAGGCCAGAAACCAAGAACAGCTTTCAACAGTGCAAAGCAGCAACCGGTTATTTCACTTAGGAAAATTGTGGGGGAAAGAGGAAAAAGGGAGATGAAGCAGCAGATAAGAGGGAGAGGCTAGACAATTCAGTCCCCTCTCCCAAACAGGAACCTTAGCCAAAGTGAAGATGAGGGCTATGGGAGCATGGAGGTATCCCAACAAGAACCAGGAAGCTCCAACTACAGGGAGTCAGCCCCGAGCAGCGCGTGATCCTTCTGGCAAGAAAATCACAATCAGCAACAGAATGACTTCTCTAAGCTTGGGTTTGTGGGCTTATTTACACTGTGGCATAGCATAAGCGTCCTTCCCTTGGGCTGTAGAGCCTGGCTGTAGTCAGTAACTCCTCTTGGTTTCTCCAGCATGTACAGAACTATGAAATTAGGGCTAAAACACAAACAGCTGCAGGCAACAGCTGCAGAGGTCCATTTCTGGCAGTGTTTGAAAAGGCGCATGGAGCACATGTGAATCAGCTTCTGATATTGCTGATCAGTAACAGAAGTTTGTGGAATTTGATAGGTGTTTTGGATGAGTGTGCTAGGATTTGGTCGCCTTGCTCATTATAACTCCAGCAGTTCTTTAGCAGGTACACGATACATGGCCACGCTTACTGCTGGAACTGCTAACAGCACTCCTGCTGTTGTAGTCCAATAAGGCACTTAACGAGGCTGTGCACAGGCTCTATCAAACGTTCATAAAACATTGAATAGACATAGGAAAAAAAAGTAATAATTAAACGCAACATGCTCTAAATCACTCTTCATTCAGTCAGAATTGCCTCTGACCAAGATCCCGCTCAAACAATAGGATCACTCTGGCACTTATAACAATACCAGGACAATGTGCAAACATTTCCACCCAATCCATATGCAAGAGCTGGCAAACCCTCTGGAACATGATCTGGGCTGAACCACAGCAAAAGTGTCCCAGCTTCTAGATAAAGTCCATCTACGCATGCAAGAGTGTGTGCATGCATGCGAATGTACACTCGCAAATACAAGGGCGTGTTTATTACCCTGCTGTTTTACAAGCAGACACAATTTATGCTTCCATTGATTATGCCAGATTCAGGCAAGAGTGCTTGATCAGAGCTAAAATCAACAGCACTATGCCACCTTTTTCCAACATAGTTTGGTTCAAGGAAGTTCCCATTTCTTGAAATTTGATTATTCAATAGACACACAAACCCCCACGTTTGGCCTAGCTTTCACTGGCAACAGTCAAAACCAGAGTTACATAGGTGTCGCTGAACGTCTGGAAAAACAAAGCAGCCTGAGGTCAGCACATGTTCAGGCCAAGCTTGCTGAAAGACCTGCTTGCAATGAGTCCAAGCACTGTAAAACATGTTGTCTTTCTTGCATTTAGGTAACCTCAAAATGTGTTAAAACAATTACTGATACTTTTAATGGGGAGAGAAAACACAGTTCAGTTTTAAGTGTAAAAACCAAAATAATGCATGTAAAACATTAGGTTACACTAATACATTAGTTACAGAAGACATTTCCTCAGAAGACGCTGTCCTCATGGCGCACGTTAAAGACTTGCCCTATCTGGGAGGCAACTTGACAGGTTACCTTAGAGGAATTAGTTAAGCTTGACAGCAGCAGTTCACAATCAAAGCATCACAGCTTTGATGATGCTCTATTGAGCATTTTTAGCCCATGGTAAAAGGAAGAATATAGCCGCTCCCACGCTGTCGGAGGCAGAGCCACCAGATACAGCTTGAGTGGCTTCAGCAGAAAAAGCACAGAAGTACAGCCTGTGAAGTTAAGGGTGTATTTGGAGGTATATGCTGGCTTCATTGAAAGAGATTAATTAGCATGGGTCAGAGTAAAGACCGTATTTCATTTCATTTCAAGTGTTCCACTACAGGTCCTTGAACTGTTTTGTCAAACTATGCAGCTGTTGTAGCCAGAATTGGCCAACTGGGCTTTATGTACACAATGTGCTTGAGAAAAACCCGACATGTTGCATTTGAAGACAGCTTGACCATTTGTCCTCAGATCTCTGAATCTTATAAATTATACTCTCTTGGCTACAAAACCCCCTAAACTTCCATGCTGCAGCCAACAGCAACCACACTCTGGCACAAATCAGTCCTTTATTCATGTGGCAGATACAGCTGGAAATAAATAAGTCCATTGTTTTCCACTGGTACAGCCACATCACAGAAGGTCTCAGTGCAGCTGTGAGAATGTGGGTCATTAATTAAGAGCCAGCACAGAGCCAACAGGCCTTGCAGGGCTCTGAACATTGCTGGTGGCAAGCTTTTCCACTAACTATAACTGCAACTGTGGAGAGAACACCCTGCAAAGCAGAAAACTTTGTCCTCCAACACCTAATTCCCCAAATTAATTTTTTTTTTTTCTTTTTTAATCCCAAGTAGGCTAAGCTATTCTCATTACTCCAAGAAAAATTTGTCCCTGCTACAGGAAACATTGTTTTCTCTGACCAAAAGGTGCTTGTATCTAACCCAAATAGCAACTCACTATGAAAGCCAACATCTGGGACAATTAAAGTAAACCACTCAAGTTTGCAAGCTTTTTTAGAGCTGCTTTTGAAAAAGCACTTTAATGAAACAATGCATATGTTCTCAAGCAGAAAGAAGCACTGCTTTAGGTCTTCCGGCAATTTTTCTTCAAGAAGCAGATTAAATTACAGCTAAACAAAACACTACTTCTCCTAAAGGCCACATTCACACTGTAACAAGAATGTGTTTAGATACAGCCATCACATGCG